GCTGTCTGGACCTTTAGTGATTTGCCTTGGTTAGAAATGCATTTCCTGTCTTACATGTAAAATAAAATTACACCAACAATGGACCAAAAATAGTATCAGTACTAAAATTGTATTAGAGCACTATAAAGATGTGCATATGAAATATATGATAAAATATAATCTAAATAAGTAAAATAAAAAAATCTTGCAATGTGTATGTAGCTGTTGCTCTGTCTCATAATTCTAAATTTAATATACATTTATCTTACTCATTGTGTATCTAGTTTGATTTGAATAGGTTACATGAAGACCTATGTGTAATCTTCAGAATAATCAGATGAGGGTTTGCGATAGTACTATATAGTTAGTTCTGAAGAACAAATGCATAAACTGCTAACATGTAATCACCGCATCAGTTTGAAGCCTCCAAGATGTACGAGCATAACTAATTCATCATGGACTTCTTACTTAGCTTGTACAGTGGAGATGCACAGGTCACCAGGCTTAGCAACTCTGATGGACCAGTGTAGAAAATATTTCTTTGAAGTTATCAAATTTGAAGCCATTCTTTCCCATACATCTCTCCGAAAGCCAGACATACTGAAAAGTAATGGGAGAGATACAGCAAGTTCATTTCACTGATTTGTTGAACGAATTACAAAATGCCTGATAATTTGAATTTTTTATTAACGTGTATTTGATACTATTGACAAAATGTATGCTTTCAAAAAAGAATAATTGTTCCCCAATCATTAGTAAATATCTCTAAATTACATTCCCCATACTGTTTCTCTGAGTTTCCTTACACAATTGATAAGAATTTGTGCCCCCCCTACAAAAATGCATATGACAGTTTTTAATGAGGATTCAGATTGTTACCTCTCTGTATCAGTCTTGCATTGAGGGAAAGGATATGTATTTTCAAATACTATTCCATATATGATGTATATCTGCATCTATGTAAAGGAATTACAGAATGTGATTATAAAGTTAATTTTTGTGAGCTCTGTGGATATGAACTACAGTTACGATTGATTGTTTCAGTCTGTGTCCACAATATATTTTTTAATTGAGAAAAATATGCAGCTTCCATGAAACAGACTGTTAAAAACATTCATAGATGCCTTGCCTATTACTACTTCTTAAACACAAGTGCAAAATTACTTTAGGCCATTGGAAGTATCTGGGGAAACTTTTTGTAAATCCCATCAAATTTAACAGAGAAAATAGCCATGCTTGTGTTCAGTAGTTCTGAGGAAAAAATGTTCTCTTAACAAAAACACAGAAGTTTCTCAAATCTGTTGAAACCTATTTTTTGACATAGGTACTGCCAAAGAGCATTAAATTTGCAAAATCAATATGGAAAACATTGTGTTCATATTGCCCTTCTAGGAGAGATTGCTTTGAGAACTTCATGCAATGTTAACTGTACCTCAATCCACAGGCTAGAGGCAAAAAAGCACTATTTAGCACTTACTCCCTTAATTAACTGGAACATATATTAAGCTGTGTATTATAATGTATAGTAACATATATAATGTTGCACTTGTGAACATGCATTTCTAGTTTCTTCTTAGGGAAATGAGTAAGATACATTGTGTTAACCAGGGCATACCATTGTCAATGAACATTCAGTTTTTAGTTTCTCTAAACATTAAAAAAAAATATTTTTCTTCATATCAGATTTCTAATGACAACTACTGCAGTTTAGAACAAAACATTTGTCAACGTTAATGAATGAATTAATTCTTTGTTACTAAGAAGAGGCTGAAATTAAAACGCATGCTGAAGACACTATTAAAAATCCTGTTCCTTTAGGGTTAATAATATTTGAACTACATTTGCTGCTTAGTGAAATGCAATATGTTTAGTTATCAGTTGCCTTGGTTGGCTTAATTTGCAATTTGTCCATTGCTGACACAAAAAGTCCATGCAAGGTTTTACAGATGTTCCTTTCACTTAGTTATACTGTGCTTTCTCTATGCAGTCAACAGGAATAAGTGATAGTCGCTGAATATGAGTAGCTTTCAGCTGCTGTTGGAAACTACTCTTATTTTTAGTCAAATACACATAAGTTATTAATAGAAACTATCCTGTTCAAAAGCTGCATTGTTAGAGAAGTCAGATCTGTTTTGGTTTAGCAGATGGATACATTTGTAGTGAACAGTTCTTGTTTAGTTCCTGAATCTTTTGTTTCATAATCTTTTGTACATATTTCTTCATACTTCATGAGAAAATATTCAATAATAATGCAAGAATAATTACAAAATGTCAATGATGAATACATTCATTGTAAGTTAAAGTATCTTTTTAATGACTAACATTACCTGCAACTTGCTATGTATACATAATAGGACCAGAGAGGAAGTAATGGAATTGTCTTTCGTGCTGTGAAGAAATGTATTGGGTATAAAAATAATTAATTGCTGAAGAGTGATTGGCAATTGTGATGTGGTTTTGTGTTGTCTGTATAGATTATTTTAGGCATACTTTACTGGGTAAGTGACATTTGGATCATTAGTCTTGCCAAATTCCATTTAAAATACATTGCTCAAGTAGTTGTGTTATGATGGATCACTAACTTTTAAAAACAGTAACTTTTGTGCTATGAGTATTTGTTACCTAAATAAAATTTAACAGTACTTCTAATGATCTTGATTATATTTCTGGTGAAAGTATGCCTCTTTGTATAAACTTGACATTTATTTTTGAGTAAAGTTTGTATTAGTTTCAGTAAATATTAGGTTGTACAGTATGATTTTTCTCCTTTATATTGCTTCTGTGTCTTTCATACTCTCATTCAGTATGACTACTACTGAATTTTTTTT